TTTATATGGAATACCCGAACTATTTAGGGTTTTAAACAACGTCAAAAGAGGGAAGGTGTTTTTTTCCTACATTCTATAAAGTTTCACAGCATTGAAATACTGACATAGAACTTAGGATATAATTACTGCAGTAAACGAGATACTGGGAAATATTAAAAAAACATCCATATGAATGAATATGAATTAATGAAAATACAGACCCCTGGAGACAAGAGACGCAAAATTAATGCCCATTTGCAGCCAATGGCAATGTCAGTCACGTCGAAAAGTGACATTAATCATGTGTGATAGATATTGAACTCCAACAAGTGGCATAATCAAGCTAGGATCATTCAATATGTGTAGATCATTTTACAATACTATATGCACATGTTCATGACATTGTAAAATAATATACTTTAGTAAACAAGACCTTTACTTAACTTCAGTAGATCTCATTAAGATACTTCTTTTGAAGTTGTTGTTTTAAATGGTTAAATAGAACTGAAAGTAGAGATTGATTATCTAAGGATATACGTACATAAAAGTTTCTCAAAAACTCCAAAGAGAAACTTGATTGATAGGAGATGAGATGGGTTTGTTTGCAGATGCAATATAGTGTTATCTAAGTTAGAATGGTGATATTGACCAATGTATTGGCACAGACAAGTCAAGAAAAGTCAAAATACCTGCTCTAAATAATTTTTATTGAAAAGTAGACTAATTATATTTTGTAGCTTCATTATCATCATACGCTGTATTTCTCTTGGTTTGGGCTATTCAGTTTTTTATTTTCTGGTTGTTTGTTCAAATTTATTGTTTTCGTCTTACTGCAATAATTTAAATATACCGAGATTGCAATTTCTTTATGTTTTATCTTTATATTTACTGAACTTTACACAGATTTTGACAGAGTATTTAGCAGGATAAATTCGGAGAACAGTTAGTGTGGTATGTAATACAGAGTCAGTCCGAAGAATAATCTCGTGATCACAAGAAATTGCCTTTCCACAGACTGAATGAATGGTAATTTACAGTTTCACTTTAAAAAGAAATAGATACTAGTACTTCAAAAAATCTTTCAATAAAAATTAACTTTTAGATTTACTCAATTTTCATTATCTTTCATAAGCAGGCTTTGTAGTAGATATACATATTCAATATTTCATCTGTAAATCGGTAAAATTCCATCGACGCTCCTGCAAGTATTTACAGATATTCACAAGATTCTAATATTTGTTACATATATTTAAATATGCATTTTATAAAGTTTCATTCTCACTTTTAAAAAAAATTCTATATCTGAAATATTCGGAATATATATGTACATATAGTGTATTTGAAAGCATTCAATCAAAGGATGCTTTTACTTGTACCCAAACTTTTTTACCCTTTAAGAAAGCGAAAACACAAAATAAACAATTCCTTTTCTGTTTTTTTATGACAAGAAAAAAACACCCTCTTCCCAAGTAAGAACAAAAATGTAATTGTTGCATTCCTTTATTGGCAAAGACAGACAAAAGTTTCAAACCAATGCTAAAACGTTTTCGCGTGTAACTCAATTGGTTTGCATACACCGTTGGAATCATGAGTCTATATCTTTAAAAAAAATAATGATTCATAGCTTAAATATTATGTGTTTTCCTTTGTTTCAGAATTCCAAGGAAGCCGATAGGTAACAAGTAGAAAATTTTTGTTCGGAGGTCATCATCAGTTAGATTTTACACATGTTTCTAAAGCTAGTTTATCTTTTCTAGTGTAACTTCTCTAATAAAGCCATTTCTTTTTTTAAGTAATTCTAAAAAACAAATACGTTATTACACATTTTCTGATTAAATATCAAAATATATCTGATTTCAATATATGTAACGTAAGATTAGGTACATGCCTCACTGTTGAGTTCAAACATTTTAATCAAAGGGAAACAAACACTGTTTATCCTTCTTTTTGAAATCAGAAAAAAGTGAAATTGCAATTAACTCTTTAAACCTATAAATTTAGTGAGATCTTTTTAAAGTTTTCCGATGTAAGGATCCTTCTCCTGACTATTCTACAAAACTTTGGCAGATTTTATTTGGGTATAAAGAAAACATATGAACGAGGAATAAATGCAATCACCTTCAAACTATGTTGACAAATATCAAAATTTAAAAAAACACTTTAGGTCAACTTGTGAAGGCCCGGTTCATTAAAGTACATGATTGTGGTGTCTCTCCGTAAGTAACATTAGTTGCTGTCGATGAATGCTTGGATTTTTTCGCTAGCTTCTGAATTAATATCGCACTCATAACATTCTCCGTCTCCGTACAAGATATTGGTAAAGTCTGTAAAAAAATTGTCTGGATTGTGCTTCAGCAATGGTCCTGGGGAAATTCCTTCCCGACAGTTCTGGATAACAACAAGCATGTTGGTACAACCTATCAAATTAAAAGTTCACCGTATTCTGTGAAGGTCAATAACCACCACCTCTACAAGCACACACATAATTTAAATTTTGACGATTTTTAGCCCTCATTTACATTTTCAGATGTAAATGATATCGTGTATGACTTTTAATAGAAAAAACTGTATATTTTTCAAAAACTCTCTTCATACTGTGCAAGTATATGATAAAATTATTAAATCAATATAGTTATTCAAGGAATCATTGTCTAGTTTGTTGGGTATGTCAGGGAGATCGAGGACAGTTGAAAATATGGAACAAATTATGCAGAATGCGCAATACCCATTATCCAAAGTATCTAACGAACCCAAGTGTCGTAGTGGTATATGCCCTGGTATGCCCAAAAAAACCATACAGTATTTATTTAAAATGCGCCTACTATCGTCAGACACAATGACAGCCTAGGAGAGTGACATGAATGCGACATGAATATTAGACACTTTACCTTTCATTTGGCGCAGTTATTTTTATTATTTTACTTAAATTTCAAAGATTTATGTTAGAGAAAAAAATTGGAAATGTAAATATTGATCTTTAGTTTTATGTCTCTAACCTTGTGGAGATATATTGACGACAGCTGAAATATCATCAAGGAGACGCGACAAGGTGAAGCAGACAACAATACAGAGAGAACCTTCCTCCACGGGTTCTTCTCCCTTCTTCCAGATTGGTTCTATTGTTGCTATGTTCCTGTCTATAAAATCAGAGAAAGCTTTCCGCGGTAAATCTGACAGATATTTAATATTAACTCTTCGTTTTTCTCTAGGTAGGAAGGAAGTATCAGTTTTTTCAAATTCCTCTTCTGTGATATCCTTGCTTCCCTTTTCGATGTGTTCAACTGCAATAATCAATGAAAATACACACATCTTTATAGGTTTTCAAGAATCTGAATACTGAGTAAAAGGCCATAAGAACTTTTTTCTTTCCATGTAGAAGTTTTTGAAGAAATTCTGCTAGATATAAATACACAGATAATACTTTAAAATATTTTTTTCAAACTCATTGAATTGTTGCAGCAACTAATGAAATTTTATTTTCGAATATGAGAAAATTTCTATAAATGTAAAAGTAAATTCTAAATACAATATGTGAAAAAAACTTCCATAATTAGTTATGAGTTGGCTTATCCGGTATATACTTCCTTCTATGCTACTTATACATTCCTCTACGCAATTGAAAAATCGACATATAAGCTAACAAATGTATATCACACAATAGTTGGAACACTTCTAGTATAATATACCGGTAATGATTGGTGCATGTAGGATATATCAAAAAGTTCATAACTCAAAAATTGTTCAACCCCCCCCCCCCCCCAAAAAAAAATCAATTTATACTTTAGAAAGGAGAAAATTCCATCTTTTAATTGTTTACGTGATGATAAATTATGTTTTATTAATAGAATTGCCTTTCCATTGATTTGCTGCAAATTAATTAATATAAATCGCTCTTTATTCCTTTTATACTGTACGAAATATATTTTTCTTTCAGTATCCAAACATATATTAAAATGTGAAATACAAATTAAAGTAGACATTTTTAATTGATTTATTTCATTGTTTTCATTCAAAGGTACAGTAAAGCATTCCTTTCACTTGTTATGACAGTGCGAAAAGTATCAAAATGAATAGTACGATACGAATTTTTAAAGAATTATGAACTATCTAATTAGGAAAAATATTGTAGATTTTCACCTGTGTTTAACTTCGTCAACAGATTGTGCATTTCATTCTTTGCTGTCTGATTAAGATAAAATATATCATCAAAGCTAGATTCGTCAAACAATGCAGGTATTTGGACTGTTGGAGTACAATTTTCTTCACACCCTTCAAATTTTTCTTCTTCAAGCAAATCATGGACAACCAAAAGCATGGATTTATAATCTGAAATGCAACTTTTTTTATTTGGAAGAGTTTGTTTTAAGATTATAAATTGATTTCATGATCCAAAGAAAAATACCTTTTGGGATTTTAGCATCTTCATAAATATTATCTCTGCATTTTGCAGAGCACACTAAAATGTAAGAATGCTCTGGTATGCTTCTTGGTCTCAAAAACTGAAATTGCACTCCTTCGACTTTTGATTCCAGGAAAGACTTTACGAAAGTTTGCCCAATCTCATCTTGAATTTTTATGACGACATCTACTGCTTCGAAAAAAGAAAGACCTTTATTTTATTGAAATCAGATACTTTGTAATTGTATTTGCATTTATGTACCTGATCTTTGAACATGAAGTTAAACATGCAGCTATTATTTTACCTGAAGATAATTCCTTGGCAAAATTTTGTATGTCTTTCACAGCAACATTATTGATGGCACAGCTTTCATTTATGCCATCTTTTTCCATGATTATATGTGATTTTTCATTTAGCCTTTCGTTTTTGTTAAGTAAGACGAGATTTGATGTCTCTTTGATATCATAAACAACAAAACAAATAGAGTCTTCACCTGTATAAAAATAGGTTGTTTCATTATTTGTTTTATTAAAGCTATTTAGGAAGAATAAGCTTAAGGGATAGTCCCTATATATTGTTAAATTATTTTTTTTAAAATAGCATACCAATCGTTAGGAGAAACATCTCTTCTTGGGAAAACTGAGACTTGTGTGTTAAAGAACACGTATTTTCCATTAGATATTGTCCCAATGAACCTGCTATAAATCTGGACTGAAGTTCTGGAAAATTCTGCATCAAAAAGGATTCTAAAAAGTTGCAAAGAGATTGTTTCACTCTCTCAGTTTTATCAGAGGTCGTAGTCCTGCATGTAGGTTTTCCTACACAATCTTTGAACTGTTTGTTTTTCTTCACGTCTTCTAAAAAAAATAAATATTTTTTTACTGCTTTATTTTCATTTATTTATAGAGCTGAACTAATATAATTCTTGATTTAAATAATTTGTTTTACTCAATAAAAAAAAATAAAATAAAATTAGATTTTAATTTACTTTATTATGATAACTCAAAAGCTTACTCATGATAAAAGAATATTTTTACATACAGTAATTTTAACTTACCTGTCAATTTTCCTGCATTTTTAATTCCTTTGTAACATATGTCCTGAGCCTGGTTGAACTTCCCAACCTGTATTTCTGAATTTTCATCTACTATAACTATAAGCCACATTATTATTATTATCAAACTGTGTGAATATAAGTTAAATATGTGCTTAAATACCGTATAAGTGGAATTTTTTGCGAGGCTCAGATTTAGCGATTCGTCCTTAATATTTGGTGTTTTATTTTTAGCGAGATGTAGTTTAAGCGATTTTAAAAAGCCCACTAAGAAGTTATTACAAATAAACCGAAATTAATTTTTAGCGATATTAAATTTTAGCGACCTTGGCACCATCGCTAATAATGCCAAAATTAAATCCTCGCCAAAAATTCTGCTTATACGGTACTGAATTTTGATCTTACGTTTGAGAAAGAGGGGTTTACTATATACTTACGGTACTCATTTCTATCTCCGTTTATTGCATCTGAAGAGATAAGATATAAAAGTAATAATGTCTTTAATTACTCAGCTTAATGATAAATACAATACATATATATTTCAAAATGAATATTTAGCATTATTTGTACCTCCGTTAATTAATGCAATGACCGCTCGTCTAGCCCTAAATGTGTCATCCGGGAAGTACGCTATTGTTAGGTATTGTACTCGCTTGTCAGGATAGTATGATCTTATGTCATATTTTGTACCATAACTTTCTCTTTTTGATTGTTCGCCGATCAAGATCACCATTCCTATATAAAAAAACAAACAAACAAAGATATGCTAAGACTTACATCTGAATTGTGTTTAAATTTTTGTCTAAGAAACACACAAGGCGACATAAAACCTTTTGCAACTGGTGACTTTCAGTTTATACCATAAAGCAATGTAATACTTGAAAGAAAAGGATTAGTGGTCGTAATTTTGTCTTCAATAAAAATATTTTTAAAAACTGAATTTGTGTTTCAATAAAATTACAGTAGCTTAATAAACATTTTATTAACAAGACATTCTCTCGTTTACTAGACTGCGATTGTTCATTGTTCAAGCAGTTTTGCCAGTAAGTTGCTTTAGAAAAGAGGTGCGTAAGTAATGAGTTGCAAAGGAGAGGCGATGTTACAAGGGGATTTTGAAGTAAGCAGAATTTACTCTGATTTAAGGGAGATAGAATTCATGCGGAAACACAATAATATGGCATATAAACATGACTAAAAACTCTTGTTTCTAAAAGCGTCATCCATTCTCTAAGGAACAGGTATTTGCAGACATGTAATGTCCAAAAAATCAGGATCAGGCCTTGCAGTGTGTACCACAGCCCATAGGAGGACCACTATTTGACCAGCGTTTCTAAAAGACAATGTGAAGTTAAGATGAAGTTTACTAAATGCTAACTTCTCATAAGCAAGGAAAGCCAAACCAAAGCCGTAGGTCGTAGGTAACAGTTTGCACTCCGGTCCAACAGGTCGTCTGTTTCCCGAGACTCTCGTCAACTATTGTTTTGATATACTCCCTTACCGAATGAAAAGATAACTCAGTTTAGCGCCATATGACAGTCTTTTTTTAAATAGTCAATTTTAACATTTCCTGTATCGACAGTCAGAGAAAACACTAAAACTGTTGGACTTTTTATGTAAGAAATTTTATAGAGACTGTTTAGTAGGGATATAACAAAATATTCCGATGGTTGCTGAAGAGTTATCCCTGTCAAGGTATGCGGCATTTTACAGTTGTTGACTGGGGTAGAGGGAAACAGTCGATCTGTTGGACCGGAGTGCAAGCTACAGCCTTGGGCAATAGCTTGCACTCCGGTCCAACAGGTCGACTGTTTCCCGAGACTCTTGTCAACAACTGTTTTGTTATACTCCTACCAAATCAAATTCATATATTTAACAAAAGACATTAGTTAAATTATTTTGGGAGAGAGAGAGACTTTATTATATTTATGTGTTTTTATCAACAATTGTCATTTACTGTCTTCAATCAAGGATACTTTATTATATCAATGCCATGGGACTTCTCAAATGATTTCTGTAAAGCATAGCGGATAGAAATCGTGGTTTTCTTTGCATACATGCTCCCATCCTTCTATCAAGCAGCACAATGGAATTTCCTCAAGTCAAAATATAATTGCTTATCAATTCTTCACACAATTTATTACGCAGAAGCGGTAGATATGTCTAGAGACAATATTCGCTGAGAATATTTTCAGCTGTTTTCACAACATGTTTTGCATTCTTACTGTCCTTAGTTCAGAGTTTCGACTATATTTCTTCCTCGTTTGCCGCAGTGAAGCGAACATCGGCAGGTAGCCTTAGTACAAACCGCTTCACCTCTGTGACGTCATAGCTAAACAACGAGTTTAAATTACGCGGCACTCCTCGACTAAGTACATTTAACTCACGGTTATCCAGATCAGCCGAGGTCTGCGGAATGAGGAAAAGATAACTCAATTTAGCGCCATATGACGTCAGCCGGCAACAGTCTTGTTTAACAGTCAATTTTAACAGTTCCATGGACCGGTAGGCGGGGAAAATAGTCGAATTGTTGGACTTTTTAAAGTAAGGAATTATACAGAATCTGTTTAGTAGGGGTATAACAAATTTGTATATTGAGATATTTCTATCATAGGTCATCATTCTCTATCCAGAGTTGTCGTTCCCGCTTCTCTCCCACATACACCTCTGTCAACGCTTGTTATATAAGATTTTTGGAAAAATTGTTTTTGATTAAAAGTTGTATTAATAATAGTGTTTAATTATATTTCTTATCGGAAAATATATTTATTTTAATTTGTAACACCTTAAAAGGATCTTTTGATTAAGATTTTAATTTTTACTCTGCAAAATATTCCCTAAAATCTTTGAAAATAAGTCGTTCTGAGTGATTATAGATTTAAGATAAATGATGAATTATCATCTTTATCAATATTTACAATAATTAATTATCATTTAAATTTCTAATCTTCGCTGTTTGAAATTTGTACACGAATCTTGTACAACGAGCGTTGACAGAGGTGTAGTGAGCGTAGCGGAAGACAACTGTGGTTAGAGAATGCATAGGCCATATGGCCACAGAAAACAACAACAACAAAAAAAAAACAATTTAAATTTTCTGATAAACTTTTATTTTCTAGAGAGAAAAAATTGCATTCGTATTCCCAACGCCAGAAAAAATTTCAAGGCTAAAAACAAAATAAATGTTAAGATCACTAAGGCACGGACTTTTTTAACATTGCATAACAGATTAAAGCAGTAAAAGTCAAGCCATAAACAATTCGATCTTCAAGTAAAGGCATTTTTCTCAAATTGCAGAATCGATAACTAGACACCCATCAAATTTAAAATCTTTCAATGATTGTTCTATTACAAACTAAGGTAAAATTTGGTAAATTTTACAAACCCGGAAATTCTGCGCTTGCTTCTGGAAGGTTCTTTTGTGGTATTGATTGTTTGACGTCGATGTGACCGTCGAACTTGGCCTCACATACTCCAATCCATTTATTTCCAATTTTCTCTCCAATACGTCTTTGCCTCGGCTTGATATGTCTGATTTCTATTTTTTCTAATAAGCTTTCGATTTTGTCTCTCCATTTTTCAGCGTGTCGTGTCAAATAAATCAAATCCAACTCAACTTCAGGAACTTCAATACCAACGGGATCTTTAAAATCTAACATGTATTGATATTCATATTCAGTGTATTATTAGTTCCACTAGCAAAGGAAGAAAAAAGACATAATATAGAATATATTCTCTTATTTATTAGTCAAATGTAAATAATCATGATAATATGATAATTATCCTAAATTATATTGAAAAATAAACACAGAATCATCATTTTTATCTATACTCACTCAACTTTGAGAATTTATCTCCCATTTTCAGTCAGCTTCTTCTTTTAAACCACTTCCTTCAAAATCAAATAAGATTAAAATTAAATTTACATAAACAAAAAGGATTGTTCTGTTAAATTTCATCTAGGAATCAATTTCTGTTTCCCACGAAGAAATAGCATTTTTATAGTTAAACGGGTGAAAATGTAAAATTTTTAAAATAAGCAATAAAAAGTAAGATGTCCCTTCCTATATTAAATCAAAGTATTGAAAGAACTGAAAGCCGGGCTTTAATTGCTCGAGTTTATTGTCTGACCCGAAATTTGTACACATTTAATATTTAATTTTTTTTTCCTGTTGGCCATTAAATTTCAACAGGTAGAGTTTGTATGATTATGATTTAAAACAATATCCCATGTTTGTACCAGTAATTAAAATTAACAGTCCAGACCCCAAGATATGTTATGATTTTAAACTTAAGAAGTAATATTTCCAAGAAATTCTCGCATGTTTTCTATTCAATAAGCATTGTTTTTCTCAGTCTTGGAATATTTAAAATAATGCACATGTTTATTATATAGACATTCTTTTAGTTTCAAACAAACAGTACTTTTATCGCCAACTATGTGTAGAAACACTGATACATGTACAATCTCAAGCGACTTCACGCGTATTAATTCTTAAAATTTCAATTCACTATACTATTAATTTGCTAAAAATCAAAACAGAATATAACCACTATCATAACATCGACGAAAACGATATAAAACTTGAAAAACTCTTCCACAATTTCAGCATTTCGAAAAGCCCGCGCTATTGAAAATAGTTCGCTAACAATATGCATTCAGCAGCGTATCTGTACAAATTGTTATAATACGATTATCCCAATAAAGCAAATATCTAATTTCTCTTTCAGTTTAATTCTCAAGCAAAAAATATTGATCATTATTTGTTTGAATATAGTCTCGCAATGGAACTATATATTTAGTTTATCGGAAGCGTCTGCTTTGACGCTGTTTGGTTTTTTGTTTACTGTGCTATTTATATTAAGACAGTCGATCATGATGCCTAGAGCTAGGACTTTGCTTTCAGCAAAGCCCGGCATTAAAAAATTGTATGCAAAAATGTCTTGATGCTTCCATTCTTTGTTATGTTATAGATCCATGACATTTTATCTAATCTGTCTACAATTTTCACAAAACTTTTATATTATAAACCCTTGTAAAACTAGTTTTACTGATTTTTAGAATTCAAGGAGTCCTTTCAAAAAAATTAAAAGGGGATTATCCTCAATGTCTCGTGAAGTAATCTATCGCCAATATGCATTACAGATTTTACGAAAAGCCATAGAATCAAATCCAAAAAATAAAATTTATTCAGGAAGATTATTCTCTAGGTTGAAGAACAGGTTGCAAAGTGTTATATTCAGATAAACAAAAATTGATTGATTTCTTTGAAAATATTCTATTCCCAAATATTGACATAAAAGGCTTGCGCGGTAACCTTGTAACACTGCATGTTGTCAGAAAATGCACAATGGCTGCACAGATTTGATCTTAGTTTTGTTTACAAAGAATACATGTTTCCATGGAGGTCTACGATTAAAGCATTTAATAAACACCTGTATTGTAAGGACTAAACCTTTACATGAATCATATCCAATATTTCGAAAAAAAGCTTATTTTAAATTCTGTGCACACATCGATTTTACTGCAAAAGTCTCAATTATTCATTTGAATGCATTCAGGTCCTTTCAAAATATTCCATAATTTACAAGGAAACAATTACATAACAATGCATAATTTTCGGAATAGCAAAATCAAGACTGAATCATTCACTATTCAGTCATTGAAAAGTTGCCTAAGAACGGTGATTCATGATGACAAAAGCGGACATTCAAACAATTTCAATTCTGAACACAACAAACATCGACATCTAAAAACAATAGTGGTACCAGGAGCAAAAGAAGAATTGGCATCACCTGCCTACGGGTTACAGCCGCCGTTTACTCCTTGTCATGATGGGTGCGTAGAAAAATCCATAGATATTTCTTTGGGAAAATTATGGCCGAACATTTAGTATATTAACTCATGTCCAACTTATAGCTTTAATTCCCTTTTCTAGAAATAATTTCATGATCATATAGCAGTTTTAATCAATTTTAAATTCATGCAAAAAAATGAATTTGATTTGTGATTCCTCTCAAAGAAATTTAGAAAATTTGAGACAAGTTTTCTTTTACGAAATTCAGTAGTATTATATCTATTTTTCAACACATTTAACATTCGTAATAAATTAATAACTATGCTTTTCACGATAACACAGAAACTAGTAACAACGTCATTTGCGTTCTAATCTATTCACAGACGAGTCACAATTTTTTGTTGACTTCTATAATGGCAGCAGACTTGTTTTAAAAGTAAAATGGGAAAGATATGTCGATTGTTGAGCAGGCATAAGTTCTACAAAACTAATTTGCCATTTTTGAAGGTTCCAAGACAGGCCAAAAATACCGTGAAGATAAAACTGATCTGCACGTTATTAACGAGGCCGAGTCTAATTCGAGTGCGCATCACTTTGCTTTTTAATTTCATGTAGTCATTTGTGTGTCAGTACACCTTTGAAAAATATCTTGATTTTAATATAAAATTACCATTATCTGTAACTCCTACTGATCTGATAATGTTATTTTACGACAATAATTGAAAAAAAGAACGTTGAAATGGCTCTAACAACGTCATCATTTTCGGATTTTGTAAGCAATGCATGACGCTGAAGAATGACGCATGACTCGCTTGTATGTTCAAGACGTTCATGGATATTATACTAAAAACTGATGACAGAACTTCCCAAGAAACATACCAGCAATCTAAAAATTGCTTTTTTTTTAACGAAAAAAAATTGCAGGCACCGATAATTCATTTGCAAAGATATGTATTTATACCGTAATTTGGCAATTTTAGAGGTATTGGGCTTCGAAAAAATAAACTTAGTAATTAATACCTAGACTTTTTACATTAACTTTCATCTATTTGAATGAAAAAGAAATCCCTAGGGCAGAAATACAAAAAATATAAATTATGGGAAAAATGTGATAATTTGGCTATTTTCCGACAAATTCTTATAGGGTCCAATAGTAAAATTTGACAACTTTTGAGATGCCCCCTAAGAAATCGGGGTGCTAAACATTCGATTATTTAATCCTAAAACAATAAATATAACAGTAAAAATTAATTATCAAAAAATTATCAAAATCCCTTGGGTAGAAATAATTAGACTCGGCCTCGTTAAACAATCCCAGACAGGTTAAAAATACCGAGATGATAATCTTCATCCTATTGCTACTTATTGCAGGTACTATTGGGGGAATTAATCTTTATGGACAAAAATGCGTGACCTTATAGAGCCCGAATTGTAAACGAGTACATGGAAAGTAAAAAAATACAGCGTATGGACTTATGTCGTTCTACAGACCTGAACCAAACTATACATGCATGATACATTCTTCAGCAACGCATTTCAGCTTGTTCAATACTTCCACAAAATTGACAGCAGCTTTTGACAGCATTATACCTCAGGCTAGCTTTTCACGGCTGATATTCGACATGGGTCGGCGCTGTGTGGCCGTTGTTATCTTTTGGGAAGGACATACAAAATACTGCGAGTCATTTTACTGACATGATTTAACTCTTCTATTCTAAAAATTTCTTATTTCTACGCTCAACACGGCAAATTTAAGAGTGACCCTAAGAATGGAATTCATGAAAATAACGAAAAGTATCCAAGATTAAAAGTCCATTAAAATTTTAAGAGAAAGAAGACACGGACCTCTAAAACATGAGAGGTGGGATCAGGTGCCATGGAGGAGTGAGCATCCATATGTCGACCGGTAACACCCGCTGTAGCAACCTCTAATGATAAAACGCCGCTTAATGATACAAATAGCATTAAGCGTTGCATTTGCAACGCCTAATGCCATAAATTATTGCATTAATAGCTGACATTCTCAACCGCTAATGCTAAATCGCCGCCTAATGATAGAATTATATCATTAAGCCTCAGAAATGCAGAGCAACACCAACGCTTAATGAAACAAACAAATATTGACATATTCGACGCTTAATGATACACACTATTGCATCATTAAGCGTTGCAGATGCAACCTTTAATGATAAAAAAAAAATCACCCCAACCATCAAATCCAGGATCTTGTCATGCATTGTTTTTGTGCGTTTATGTGATTTTTTAAAATTATTATTTTCCCTTTATTTTTCATTTCTAACAGATCTTTACTGGTGCGATAATTTATCACTTTTCCTCCCTGTTCTGATGAAACTGGATACTTTGGACTTAATACATGTCAATTGCAGTGAATTTTCTTGTAATTTTCACCGTTCTTTGGCATATCTAATGCTTTCAAAATAAATTTTACAGTTTAAATACTTCGATGATGCTTTGTATAGTTTTGTAAAGTATAATTATTATAATTTACTGCTTAGAAATGAGTTTGAATTTAAATTAAAAAAATGTACTCTCAAAAAAAGATCGTAAAATGAAAATAATTACAGTGAATCAATACTCTGCATCAAGAATATGTATGTTTAAAGCGCTACAGAAGAATGACTACTGGGATCGATCCTATTAGTGGTGACAGGTCACGGTGCAGTGCTCAGGCGAACAAAAATGTATGCAAAATACTAGTACTTTTTCCTATTTTAATGAACATAAACAATGCACATGGACATATACTTTACAATATGCCTTTTCCAATGATAATGTTTCCCAAGATAAATGAATTAATTAAAATGCTTAGAATAAGTACTATCAGCAAAAAAATAAATGAGTATGAAAACAATAATTTAATACTATGTACTTTTTTAATCTGTGTAAAAAGAGTTAATGAAATATAAAAGAAATAGTTTACAATCATATTTTATAAAGATGTCATGTTCTAAATCTTGAACGTGATACGTGAGAGTAACAACATGACAACAGCTGTCGTTTTTTATATTTTATATTTACCTGTACTCCCAAATTCCTCGGGCCTTTCCGACTAAATGTA